TGAGGAGGGGAAGCTGCACACAGTTTATTCAGCTTTGGAGCTGCTGAAACATAAGGCAGGAGATGAGAAACAGGCTGGAGAAGTAGCATCTTCAAGGCCATAGCGGTATTGGAAATCTTACCACCCTGCAGCTAGACTGAATTGAATACATCCAGCATGCATGCACTGTATGCGTTCCTTGTGCATGCTACGTAACAGGCTGCAGCAGAATCTAGATATACCTGAGAAATCTATTTGAAGTGTAACATGCCTGCCACCTTATTCTGTGACCCCAATTTATAAGCAAAGAAATGTTGATTACTAAATATTGCATCATCTTAATCACTGGTTAGGGAAGTCTTCTATTTTCTGGCAAAGCAACTCTTCTCTTTTATTCTCGGGATACTTCTGGTCTTCTGCTTTTGCTATTGCTAATGAGTTCCAGTGAAACATTTTGAGGATTACTTTAGACAAATTGATAATCCAGCCCTCTGCCTTCCAGATCCACACAGGGCAAACTAGGTTTGGGTTTAGGGCAAATTTGGCTTGCCAAGGCTTACGTGTCACGTGTACCTGGTTTATGTTGATGGGGTGCGCCACACAAAAGACTTCAGTTAGGTGCCGTTCGTAACCGTTTGTTATTTTCAGCCTATTTTATATCTTGACAAATGGCAGGTCCGCTATGGCCGGCTGATGAAGCAGCAGGAGAAGATGATTCGTGATATGGAGGCATCTGTTTCTCGTAGAGAGGCAATAGCGATTCGTGGAGAGGGTCAGAACAAAACAGATAAGAAACGTATCACCAAGAGCGACTTCCACCGCAGGAAACAGGAGCTGAGAAAGAAGATCAGCGAAACCCAGAAGGTGAGCAAGTAAAGGAGGGCTGCAGGAGTTCACGTAGCCTGTATTTGCCTTGTAACGAGCACCAGTGCGCACTTAGCACAGGCACATGGGGTGTCAGTACACAGACCCTGCACGGGTACAGCACTGCACAGGAGGCAGGCTTTAGAAACTCATTAAAAAAACCCAAACAAACAACAAAAGAGTTCTGGGAAGATGGCCGGGAATGCAGGTGAACTAAAGAAGCAGAATCTGCCATTTCCTTCTCTTCCATTTACTAGAATGTTCAAGACTGCAACAAAACTATCCTGGAGCTGGAGAGCACCCAAGCGTCCCTTAGTGCCACCTTCTCGGAAAAGCAGCAAGAATTGTGCGGACTGCAGGCTGAGTCCAACGGCCTCCATTCAGACGCAGAATGGCTCCGGAACAAGAAACGATGGGTGAGCACATCCGCTTCCTTGCAGCAGGCGAGCCAAAACCAGAACCTGCTGCGTTCTTCTGTTGCCGGCTCCCTGTCTCTTTGTCTCGCCACCATCTCAAACTGGGCGTGCTTGGCATGTAATTTTTAGCAACGCTTTAAGTTAACTGAGCACATTTTGGGGGCTCATAGTGGTCCTGAGTTGATGCTGCAGTTGCACCCTTAGTGAGGCAGCAGTCACCTGGAAACATCAACCTGAAGGACATTGTTTGTGTCTTGAAAATATCTAGTAACAACTAGATATTGTTATATGAGTGTTGTTGAGCCAGCGTTAGCTGGCTACTCACATTACAAATCTGAGAGCCAGCTCAAGGTCTTGAATGACCTCCTATGAAGTTTTTAAGTTGGTGAAACTCTGTCCTGGCAAGGGTTGCCTTGTATGCGCGGGTATTTCTCTGATTTATGGAATTCTGTGACATGATGGTACCTCTACAGCACTCAGAATGGGGATGCTGTTTGGCTGTTAAAATGGGGACTTCACAGCGGTATCCTCCTTAAGGAGCCCTTCCATTTCAAAATACGATGGTTACAGTACCCGTGACACGAATCACGTCATTTTCTTAGTTCGTTTCTCTGTGCAGTCTGCTGTCAAAGCAATTTCCGTTGTTGCTTTTCTCAGAACCTTTTGGAGATTGTGGCCTACCAGACACGCCAGAAGCATCTGCAGGCGCTGAAGGAAGGGAAGTACACTCCCCTGTGCCGCACTGAACAAGCCTGGAGAAACGAGCAGCAGAAACTGCAGGACCGGCTCCGTACCATTAACGCCGTTGTCCACCAGATCCAGCAAGAACATCCTCAGCACCAAAGGGCTCTCCAGTGGCTCAGTCAGTGCTTGGAATCCAGGCTCGGCTCGCAGGAAGGCTGACAGGGACGCGGACAAAATACCTATAACCATCTGTTCTTCTAGAGGCTGCAGGCTTTGTAAGTGAATAATTAAAATAAACGTGTAAGGTGTAATATTTATTAAAGATGTAGCATTGTAAATTTTTTTTTCTTCCTTTTTACATTTCACCTTCGCTGCAGAAGGCAGGCTCATCAGTTTCCCTGCCCCTGCTGACCCGGCCTGGCCCTGGGGGTTTAGGGGCCGGGTGCAGCCTTGACTTTCAGGCCGGAGGGGCCGCCCGGGCCCCGCTCTCCCACCGGCTTTTGCTTAAGCT